TATTTCATGCCTTTTTATGGATGAATAATATTCCATTGTACGTATATACTTTTACCCATTCATCAGTTGACAGGACATTTGGATTTCCACCTTTCGGTTATTATGAATACTGTTATGAACATTCATGTACAAGTTTCTGTGCGGACTGTTTTCAACACTCTTCAGCGTATGCCTAGGAGTGGAACTGCTGTATCAAATAGCAACTGTTTAATCATTTGAGGAACTGCCAGACTGCAACTATACCATTTTGCATTCCTAACAGCAGTATATGAAGCTTTCTATTTCTCTACACCCTCACCAATATTTTTTTATTATACTCACCCTAGTGGGTGTGAAATGGTATCTCATTGTGGTTTCAATTTGCACTTCCCTAATGACTAATGACGTTACACATCTTTTTTTGTGTTTACTGACCGTTTGTATATCTTCTTTGGAGAGATGGCTATTCAGGTCCTTTGACCAGTCAAAAAATTGGTGTCTTATTATATTTTTAATAGATTTGTTTTTTCTTTTTTTTCTGGCGGCGCCACATGTGGGATCTTAGTTCCCTGACCAGGGACTGAACTTGCACACCCCGCAGTGAAAGCATGGAGTCCCAACCACTGGACCGCCAGGGAAGTCACTGGGTGGTCTTATTACTGAGGGGCAAGTTTTTTTGATTTTTTTAAAATAAGTTGATACAAGTTCTTATCTATTATTTGCAAATATTTTCTACCATTCTGTGGGTTGGTCTACCTTTCCTCATCCTTTTATGTTTTAATTTATGCCTTTAAGTGAATCTTATTTATTGCTTTTATTTTTTAATCTTTTAAAAACTTTTATTTTTAAAGGTTTTCACTTAAAATTTTTCAATATAGGATCTCCTGTAATTGGTGAGTTTAATCCGCTTATACCATTTTCCCCATGGTCAAATGCATTGGGTAACCTGTCAGTTCATTTTTCTCCCTGGACATCTCCCTCCCCATAGCTCATCCTCCTCCAATCTGGACTGAATACTGTGGGCCTGCTGCAAATGTTATCCTGCCACTATACTGGGTTGGGGCACTGATTTCTGGTATCTGTTGCCTCCCTTGATTTACTCCCTTATTTTTTGTGGACTACATCCTCCAGTAGACTTTTATTTATTTTTTCCTAGATGAGCCTTTTTTTTGCCATAATTAACAATTTATTTATTTTGCAAGTGTTCATATTTAAGTTTTGGTTTTTTCTACTTCTTTTAACATCTTTATTGGATTATAATTGCTTTATAATGGTGTGTTTCTGCTTTATAACAAAGTGAATCAGCTATACATATACATATATCCCCATATCTCCTCTCTCTTGCAACTCTCTCCCACCCTCCCTATCCCACCCCTCTAGGTGGTCACAAAGCACAGAGCTGATCTCCCTGTGCTATGCGGCTGCTTCCCACTAGCTAGCTATTTTACATTTGGTAGTGTATATATCTACATGCCACTCTCTCACTTTGTCCCAGCTTACCCTTCCCCCTCCCCATGTCCTCAAGTCCATTCTCTAGTAGGTCTGCGTCTTTATTCCCAATTTTTTTTTAAGATTCCATATATGTGTCAGCATATGGTATTTGTTTTTCTCTTTCTGACTTACTTCACTCTGTATGACAGACTCTAGGTCCATCCACCTCACTACAAATAACTCAATTTCGTTTCTTCTTATGGCTGAGTAATATTCCATTGTATATATGTGCCACATCTTCTTTATCCATTCATCTGTCGATGGACACTTAGGTTGCTTCCATGTCCTGGCTATTGTAAATAGAGCTGCATTGAACGTTGTGGTACATGACTCTTTTCGAATTATGGATTTCTCAGGGTATATGCCCAGTAGTGGGATTGCTGGGTTGTATGGTAGTTCTATTTTTAGTTTTTTAAGGAACCTCCATACTGTTCTCCATAGTGGCTGTATCAATTTACATTCCCACCAACAGTGCAAGAGGATTCCCTCTTCTCCACACCCTCTCCAGCATTTATTGTTTGTAGATTTTTTGATGATGGCCATTCTGACTGGTGTGAGGTGATACCTCATTGTAGTTTTGATTTGCATTTCTCTAATGATTAATGATGTTGAGCATTCTTTCATGTGTTTGTTGGCAATCTGTATATCTTCTTTGGAGAAATGCTGCATAGAAACTAAAGTTTAAAATGTTGTATGTCTTAAATGTTTTAAACTTCTCTTCATGTTTTAAACTTGAAGTATAAAACATGAGGGTAGTTTGGTCACAGAATTATAGGATGGAAAAGCAAGTATCTCCTGAAATCTAAATCTCTTTTATTTCCTAGGTTCAGCCATTGAGTTTGGTTAGCAACGAATACTGTTAGCTAAATAAATTTGGTTCCTGAGTTTCAGAGAGCAAGAAGGAAGTGTTCACTCAGCAAGGGATGTGTCAAAAAAATTTATTGTAATCCGAGTTTAGATTGAATAGTTTGAATCTACTGTAATCTTCATGAATTTGGAGAGCCTAAGTTCAGATAGCAGGAATATGTCCTCAGAACTTTGAAGGCATTGATCTACCATTTTTTGTCATCCAGATTTGCTGAGTCTAATGCAGATGTATTCTTGTTCCTAAGTGATTGTTTTTTACCCTCTCTTTGAAAACTTTTAAGATTTTCTCTTTATTCTTAGAGTTCTAAAACTTCACAGTGCTATGCCTTGGTGTGGGTCTTTTTCATTCATTACACTTGACACCCTTGTTGGGCCTTTCAACCTAAAGAATGAAGTTCTGGGATAGGCTCTTATGTTATTTCATTTTAATAATCCCTTCCTACCCCTTAAAAAGTTTTTTTTTTTTCACTTTCTAACACCATCAGTCTGATATTAGACCCCTCCTGCAGCCTTTATCTTTTCTCTCACTTTCTGTCTCTTTCAGAGGTATTTCCTCACTTGCATCTTACAGCTCTAATAATTACTTCTGAATTTTAAATATTTTTAAGAGCTCTGCTGTTTTATAACTCCTGTTGCACTTCCTGTTATTGCATAAAGGCAGTGTCTCTGAAAGTCTTTTTTACCAACTTTTCCCACTTACAACATAGTCAGCATTGTCTCATATCCTAAATATCTTGAAAACATGGTTTTTCATTTTAAACAGTCCTCTATCAAAAGATCAAAATGTATCAAAGATTTTAAGCAGCATAAGGCATTGTCAAATCTGTGTTTTCGATGTTCAGTCTAGTAGTAGGGAGAATGAACTGGAGCAGGTAAGAGTCTGTAATCTAGGAGAGAAATGATGAAAGTCTTATCTAAGGCAGTAGTGCCGGGGTGGGGTAAAGTCAAAAGAACAGGCTGACAGATTTCAGGAGGTGGAATGGCACAGGACTTGGCGATTGACTGGTTAAGGGAAAAAGGAAAAGTACTATATTACCCTCAGGTTTATGGTTTGGACAATACCAAGAATAGCTGAATCTCTCCAAATAAGAAACGTGTATTTTTAATATATTTAATATAACAACAACTTACCTGTTGTTCAGTCTCATTTGAGTTAAGCTAAATCATATCTAAATATAAGTTACAAATGTTCTATAGAAAAATAAAAATTTCCCCCAGTGCTACAGTCTCAGAGATAAGATACCAAACCTTTAGAGGGATCAACTTTTTAATTAAGATTCTTTAGAGAAATATTTAAAAGGAAGGATGGAAAAATTAGCAGTAAACAAAAATTCAAGTTTAAAATTATGGATGGATGAAACACTATAGAAGAAAATTTTACCACAAAATATTGTAATATTTTGAAATAAAAAGTCATTCTACTATTATAAATACTTTTGTTTTTGTATATTCACTTTGAGTCTCAAAAAGCATTTTGCAAGGTAATTTCCTTTTCATCAGTGAAACACCTGGTTACTGTTTAACCAACAATATTAAAGTGTGGATGCAAATATTTACTAAATATACTTTTCTCAAATAAATGCAAATCACTATTTCTGAAAAGGTTTAATTCTACTTAAATTCATTAGAATATTTATATTTAAATATGCCAATGTAATCTATATGTATTAAGCAAGTAGGAGCTTCTCGAATGAAGAAACAGTCTGATTTGGTTTTATAAATAATGAAGATGATTTAAAATGTAAAAAATTGAGCTTAAAAAACACAGCCCAAACCACCTGTTTTATAAAGTCACACCAGCCATCTACTTCTAAAAAGCCTTTATCAAAGCTATTTCTTCAAACTCAACATTTACTAATTCAACAGATGGGTTTTTAAAATGAGGAATGTAATTTTACTTTCAACTCACTGATTACATACTCAAATGACGGCTTAAAAAAAATAATTTTGGAATACACAAAGACCTGAATTAAACCATTCTCAACATTTTTTCAGGACTGTTTGCTAACTGGCTTGTTTTTATTTACATATGAGCTTTAAACACGTCTACAACAGGTAGTACACAGAAATAATTATTTGCAACTATAAAACCTGTCAAGTAAACTCCCAATGTATCACTGCTTTTTCCTTTTCTTATAAGAATCATTACTATGAACTCGAACTCGCTGGTACACAGAGGATGCTATTTTCATGCTGTCTTTCTTTGTAAGCGTCTTCTCTACTGCTCCAGGTTTCCAAAGTAACAACTGTGCATCTTCTCCTCCAGTTAGCAAAGAATCATCCTGCATATTCCAACAGAAAGAACGGACTGTAGCAGCATGCCCTCCCTGAAGCCTGGTCACATGGACCAATCCTGATGTAGTACAGCTCATTATGTGAATAATTCCTGTGTTTGTTCCTCCAACTACAAACAATTTGTCTGTCTTTTCATGATATAGGCCGCCAATCAAATAGTCCAAAATCCCTTCTTTCATATTAATTACTTCTCTGACATCCGGGATGTTCAAACATGTAATTGGTTCATTGGTATCCAGATGATTAAGATCCCACCAGCAAAATCCTTCATCATGTGTCATGCAGTAAATCTGTTTATAATCTTTCCCAGACCAACCAATATAGCTTACTGATGAAACTGAGTTACAGGTTGTAACCAGTGCATCTTCTTCATTATCAACAGTAATATCAAATACATTTACCAGGCCGTCAGTTGAACCTGAGACTACCATGTTGGGATTGCTGGGATGGAAACATACTTGAGTGATATCATCACTATGTGTCTCTGAATATGCACCAAGTGGGTCTTTAGTAGTAGACAAATCCTGAGAATTAATTCTTGCATCCCAAAATACCAACAATGCATCATCATCAACTTTTTCTGTACCAGCACAAATGACATGATCATTACAGCTGATATCAAAACTGATAAAAATATTGGAAGGGTAACCCTTGAACAGCTGGACAGGTTTTTCACTGGCTAATCGAGCATCCCAACATTTTACAGTGCCATCAGTGCATGAGGAATACACGCTGTCACAGGAATTTGCAAACTTGACTCCATTAAGTCCAGGATATCCTCTAAATTCTCGTAGTACATTTAATCTTTCTTTATCATATATTCTGATTGATCCATTAGAACATAAAACAGCAACCAAGCTTCCTTTTTCTGCTTGTACAGTCTTTGATGTGTCTATGCCAAGCAGATAAGTAGGCTCTTTAGTTTCTGAGGAACGTTTAACAATGTTCAAATTAGCAAATTGTTCCTCAATCTTCTCCATATCAGGAGTGCATCCAAGGGTAGTAAAAATCTGTAATAAAAACAAAAATTAAAATTAAACCCAAAGCGTCTCTATATTGTGATTAAATCAAGAACATTTCCCTCTGAGAGCTGGCACAAAACAACAGAACTAAAATCTAATAGTTTAATCATTTCCCTACCATGATGTAACTAAAACTCAGTTGCCTACTTCTAATTCAATCACCTTTTATATACTGAATCTACTGACAGTAAGAGAATTTTAAAACATGTACATACCTTGCTTAGTAATTCCTTTCAGCTCAAACCTAATAATTGGTCCTACGCACAGTCCTCCACATTAGCCAGGATCTCCACTTTGAGATCATCTTCACCTGGTCCCAGCTGCCTTAACAACTATAGAATCTAAACATAGATGTGTTAGCAGAAAAATGGTCCCTCAAAGATGTTCATGCCATGGGGCTTCCCTGGTGGCGCAGTGGTTGAGAATCCGCCTGCCAATGCAGGGGATACAGGTTTGATCCCTGGTCTGGGAAGATCCCACGTGCCGTGGAGCAACTAAGCCTGTGCACCACAATTACTGAGCCTGTGCTCTAGAGCCTGTGAGCCACAATTACTGAGCCCGCGTGCCGCAACTACTGAAGCCCATGCACCTAGAGCCCGTGCTCCACAACAAGAGAAGACACCGCAATGAGAAGCACTGCAACGAAGAGTAGCCCCCGCTCGCCGCAACCAGAGAAAGCCCGCGCGCAGCAACGAAGACCCAACACAGCCAGAAGTAAATAAATTCATTAAGAAAAAAAATGTTCATGCCTTAATCCCAGGAACCTATGAATATGTTAGGTCACGTGGCAAAGAGGAATTGAGGTTGTAAATGGAATTAAGGTTGCTAATCAGTTGACCTTAAAATAGGGAGATTATTCTAGATTATCTGGGTGGGCCCAAAGTAATCACCAGTGCCCTTAAAAGTACTGGTAGAAGAAGCAGGCAGAATATGAGAGTCAGAGAGAGATGTTACTATGGAAGAAAGGTTCAGAGAGACACACTGCTGATTTGGGTAAAGGAGGCCAATAATTGGGTGGCCTCTAGAAAGCTGAAAAGGCAAGGAAACAGCCTCCTTTAGAGCTTCCATGTGAAAGCGCAGCCTTGCTAACACCCTGATTTTAGCCCATTGAGACCCATTTTGGACTTCTGACCTCCAGAGTTATAATAAATTTATGTTGTTTTGAGCCACCAAGTTTGCAGTAATTTGTTACAGCAGCAATAAAAAAACTAATAGAGGTACCCAGTAGGAATTCTGGAGATGTGCTTCTCAGGCAGTAGCAGCTTGTAAATGTTGGAGATGCAATTTGAACTTAGGCATTCTGGCTTCAGGGACTCTGCTCTTAACCACCACGCTAGATTGCCTCTCAATGGTAGGTTGTATACAGAACAAGTTCAAGGCCAGAAAAATATGCATGCCTAGTGACTTTATCACAAACTTTTCTATCTTGCTTTCACCAATGAATATTCTAGCCTGCCTCACAAATTCACATTTTCATTCTTAAGATGAAATGCTTTTTTTTCTGTTGCTTTAGTGATAGCGTTTTAACCGTCTGTCTTTTCGTCTTTACAAGGAGAAATGAACACTAATTCAAGAGTTGTTAGAAGGATTAACTGAAATAACGTGTCTGGCATATCATGATACACATTCAACAAATGTTACATAAAAATGACCAGTATTACCATTATCAATACCACTAACACCACATGGGGAAGAATTTGGATCTATCAGAGTGGCTCCAAACAAAACAATTAAACCAAAAGGCAAAAAATATTTAAAAGTTGCATTGGGGTTCAAAAAAAGAATAAGCATCCTCCCAAACTTTAAATTTCGACTATTTAAAAACTTACAAAAGTTGAAAGAGTAGTACAACGAACACACACACACATAGCCTTTCACCTCCGAGGTTCAACAACTTGCTTTCTTCTATCTCTATAAGCACACACACACACATTTTTTGATGAACTATTTGAAAGTTAACTGCAGACAAAATATCGCTTCATTTCTAAATACTTTAACACAGAGCACCTCCCTAATCTTTTGTTTTCTTAACACTGAATTTTTTTTAAAGTCCAGGCCAGTTGTCTGATAATATGCCCCATATTCTGGATTTTTCTAATTGTTTCCTCCTCATGATTAGATTCCAGTTTAATACTGTTATCAGGGATAAAATTTAGGTGATGCTGGGTACTTTTTTTTTTGGCTGCATTGCGTCTTCGTTGCTGTGTGCGGGCTTTCTCTAGTTGCAGCAAGCGGGGGCTACTCTTCGTTGCGGTGCGCAGGCTTCTCATTGTGGTGGGTTCTCTTGTTGCAGTGCACAGGCTCTAGGCACGTGGGCTTCAGTAGTTGTAGCACACAGGCTCAGTAGTTGTGGCACGCGGGCTTCAGTAGTTGTGGCACGTGAGCTCAGTAGTTGTGGCTCATGGGTTCTAGAGCGCAGGCTCAAATTGTGGTGCATGGGCTTAGTTGCTCCGCAGCATGTGGGATCTTCCTGGGCCAGGGATTGAACCCATGGCCTCTGCATTGGCAGGCAGATTCTTAACCACTGCGCCACCAGGGAAGCCCTGGGTACTTCCTATTGCATCACATCATAGAGACTCACAATAACAAGTTTGATCACTTACTTAAATTCTTCTTGGTGCCCAAACTGTCCCCAACTTGACCACTGAGAAACTCCTCAGGCAGCCAGCTTCTGTGTGCTTTTGATATGTCATTATCACAATTAGTATGTAAGCCCTAAATGGAACAACTCTGTATAAGAATAAGTCTGAAAATGGTGAGCATGCTTCAAGTATTCTGAGACTAAATGACCATTTATCTCTACAGCATAACTGTTGGTTTTACAACCAGATAGGCTAAAATGGCCTTCTCTCCTTAAACATGTCATGCTTGCTTCTGTCTCAGGACTGCAGCAATAGCTGCTTCTCTGCCTGGAATACTTTCTGTACCTTTTGTGTAACTCCTTCCTGTTATTCAGGTCTCAATATGTTATCTCCCCAGAGAGAGCTTCCCTGATCAACCAACCTAAAGTAGCCTGTCACCCCCCTATCATACTGCCCATTTTATTAATTAAAAAATTAAAAATGCTTAATTATGAAATATTTCAAATATACAAAGAAGTGTAGAAAAAAGGAAACAGACACCCAAGTATTGTACATATTACCCAGATTTAACATTTTGCCATATTTGCCTCAGTTTTTTATTTAAAGAAATGAAACTTTATAGACACAACTCCTATGGTTAAGAAATTTTTTAAGTGGCATCACAATTATATGTATCTTTGTTGCAATTTGCTCTTTTCACTCAATATTTTTTAAAAACCTGATTTTACTGGTGAGGTGAACTTATTACCTGACTCTTTCTTGCTTTTTTGTTATCAATATGATTGTTGAATAAATGACTGAATAATTGATTCAACTTTCATGCATTAAGAGCTGAAGAGTTCTTCCAGGAGAAACAGAATAAATCTAAAATGATATTGCATGTGTCTGTGTGTTTGCAGGGGGAGCTGTGCTTATGGAAATTAGTAAAATAATGGCATTCTTTTTTTTTTTTTTTTTTTTTTTGCGGTACACGGGCCTCTCACTGTTGTGGCCTCTCCCGTCACGGAGCACAGGCTCCGGACGCACAGGCCCAGCCGCTCCGCGGCATGTGGGATCTTCCCGGACCGGGGCACAAACCCGCGTCCCCTGCATCGGCAGGCGGACTCTCAACCACTGTGCCACCAGGGAAACCCTGGCATTCTTTAGCAGTACTTTAAATAAAGTACAAAAAGGAAATATAGACAAAGAATTTGTATCTGTGAAAAAAAACTTATTTAACTTAATTTTTTTTTACTACAAGCTCTTCAAATACATCCTAAAATGTGTGTTCACTTAAGAGTGTACTGCCTATACACTTCAAGGAAAAATCCTTTTTAATTCAAGATAGAAACAACTGCCCATTCTTGAAATACTAGTCAAAGTATTAATGAGATTACAAAAGAAACAATTCTTTGCTACTGCTTCATATTGATCTCTGCATATTAAATATCAGATTTTAAACAATAAGAAAGTTTAATGTGACTTTTAAGCTAATAGTAAGTTATAGGACTATGACTATGCACTGCTACCCCCAAGCAGGATAGTAGTGCAGTACTCCTTCCCTCCACAGTGCTGCCTGGAGAGTCTGTTTCACACTGGAACAGTCCCCTGCAAGGATTCTGGGGATTGATGAGGCAGGCAGAGTGGGCCCAGATGGAACGCTACAACAAACACTTTTAAGACAGTAGTAATGGTAACAATCTCAATGGTTCTCCACCTGACACACTGTTTAAATGCAGCATAGTACTTCAAAAAAAAAGATAGATGTTAGAAGGTAGGTAGCTCCTACAACACTCTCATGCTATAGAGTTCATATTCATTTGTTCATAGATACAAAGAGTAAAATAGTTTAATCTCTTAGGGAAAAGATGAAAACCTCTGGCTTATGCTTTAACACATTAATATGCAAGTGAATCATATTTGAAATATAACTTCCAAGGCTACATAGTTAATTTTAATTTAATATACTAATGGATCATTCTAAAATGATGAATAAACCCTTTTACTTCTATGTATGCCCTTCTCTGTGTTTTCTTTGTATGACCCACTTCCCAGTCCTCAAGATAAGCCGTAGGCTCTCTTTTCTTATCACCTGACATTCTCACAAGGCAACCTCATTGACATTCATGTTTTCAAGTGCCACCTAAGTGCCAATGAGCTCATCTATTTACAAGTCCATATTTCCAAGTGTCTACTAGCCATTTCTCCTCGAACATGTCCCACTACACCTCAAAGTAAAACTGATTATTTATGCCCCCACCAACCTTCTCCTTAAAAACAAAGTCAGAATATGCTTCTCAATGTTCTCCATGTTGGTCAATGGTATTGGCACCATGACAACACTCTGATCCACCCAGTTCTCTAAGCCAGAACCTCTGGGGAATATCCAACTCTCCTACTCAGGGCTCTCTTCCAATCCATTTCTTT